TCACACTTTTCTAGAATAACAGTGCCCTAAAAAAATCTGAGGAAACTTTAGAAAATGCATATGTAGGATTCTAACCTTAGCTTTGGGGATGTCTAAACTTGAATATCTTTACAAAAACTTTCCTTGATTCTACTGTAATTCTGCATTTAAAAACTTTCAAACTTGTGACAATAAAAAATAACCTTAGTAATAATTCTGTGGTATGGTAGCAGGAGAAACGTTTGGGTGAACCAGTAGTCTTAGGTTGATCTCAAAATGCATTAAAAACCTGCCAATCCCTGTTCAAACTCTCAGGGCTTAGGCTTCCTGATAAATGGAAGGGAGAAGGAAATAAGCATTTATATAGCACCTACTATGTGCCAGGCCCTGTGCTAAGTGCTCTTATAAACAGTATCTCATTTTATCCACCAAATAACTGTGGGAAGTAGGTGCTGATACGATCCCCATTTTACAGTTGAGGAAAATGAGGCAGACAGAGGTTAAGGGACTTGCCCCAAATCACACAGCTAGGGAGCCTCTGAGGTTACATTAGAACTCAGGTCTCTGTGACTCCACGCCCAGAGCTCCGTGCACTATGGCACCTCCCAGCAGTCTCCATGTGTAAAATGAAGGGGGTGAACTCAAGTCCTTTTTGTAATTCTCCCCAAAGTCCTTAAGTTTTATGGGATCCTATTTTCTTTCTACTTCCTTGAGAGAGAATAGTTCCAGAACTGGAGCATTTGTCCAAGAACTCAGCACTCTCTATTGTAAAAGCTTAATAAATGCACATTGATCATTTCCTTCATTTGGTGCAGTCACACAAGAAAGCCCCTCAAACCTAAAATACTTTCCCTCCTCATGGCCAACTTCCTCTTAGAATCCATCCCCCATCTCATTCCCCTCTCTTTCTGTACTCTGTCTCATTATCTCTGTCTGTCTCATCTATCTATGTCTCTATCTCTCTGACTCTGTCACATCTCTGTCTCTTGTCTCTCTCATCTGTCTGTTTCATATGTCTCATCTGTTTCTGTCTCTCTTCCATCTCCGTCTCTCTCTTATCTCTCTCAATTTCTCTTTCATTTCTGTCTCTCTGTCTCATTTCTATTTTTCTGTCTCTATCTCTCTCATCTGTTTCTCTTTCACCCGTCTGTTTCTCAACTCTCTGTGCTCTCTGTCTCTGTTTCATCTCTAGCTCTACCTCATCTCTCTCTCTCTCTCTCTCTCTCTGTCCTCTGTCTCTCTTTCATCTCTGTCTCTGCCTCATCTTTCTCTCTCATCTCTCTGCCGTCTGTCTTTCTTTCATCTCTGTCGCATCTCCTTTATCTCTTTCTCATCTGTCTCTGTCCTCTCTGTCTTTGTCTCAGCTATCTCTATCTCTCTGTCTCATATCTGTTTTTTCTTTTATCTGTTTCTCCATCTCTTTGCCTCATCTCTTTTTCTCTATCTCTCTGTCCTTTGTCTCTCTGAATCCCCTCTCCTCACCACACGCATATGTATTTAGGTGTACTCCCGGTCACAGAGGTAGCTCAGGTTTAACCCTGTCTCCATAGTCATAGGTATAGACT